ATACGAAACAATGTTTATGCAGACACATCGACACACACACAATCATTGCCGACTTCTTCACATGTATTAGTTTCTGCTATCCCACTCGTCTTTTTTGTCTTACCGTTCCATTTGACGTCATATCTGTTTCAGATTCAAAACCTCCAAATGTGCTTTTGTTGATGTTTTTGTTTCTGCCATTGAATTTCCTTGCTGCAACTCAGGATATCGCCGTGGATGGCTGGGCGCTTACTATGCTTTCCAGGTAATTATTGCTGTTATAATTCCAAAGCAGAAGTCCTGTGATTTGCAGTTTAAGAATACTGAGCGAAAATTTTTGTTAAATCTATGCTTCTGCCATTTAGAATAGCGATCTCCATCGCTCAGCAGACGTAGAAAAGTTGGCTGAAGCTGGCTTGCATGGGTCGTAGATAAACGTATTCATTCATGTCATTTCCTTTCTTGCCCCCATTTGCTTTCCTGTTATATCGGATGTGTTTTTGACTATTATGCAATGGATTTTTGTCTTGTAAGTAGATGTCAGCCTTCGTCCGAAGTGCTGCTCGTTCTGTTTTCATCCGCATTGTAATGTTTGGCGTTAAATTTAACTGTACCAAATTTCGTTCGTTTTTAACGCAGCAGTCGCAAAGTTTTACGAGCTTCATAACGGAGGCACGGGTGCAGTTCATTGTGTAAATAACAGCATTCACTAGTGGTGTTACTTAAGCTAAATTATGTGTCTGTCTCGCTAAACAGCACAGTCGTTTTATAAAATTTTGCCGAAATATTATTATTGCAACTCCCTGTTGTGTGTTTTCCGCTTCGTCTTTTCTTGGGTACGCTATAATCCATCTTGTCTCATAGTTTTCCTATTTGCTAGTCAAAGTCCCCGATAGGAGGGATTTCAACTCCGCCCGTGTGACAACTAGTTTCTCCTTTTGTTCAGATGGTAGGTTTGGTACTGGTGCATATTACAGAGTTAGAGTCGTCTTCAGCTTCTAAGCAGTCCTTGAAAGATCGACAGCCTTACCAGTGAGTGGTTGCTTTTGGCATTACTGCCACTCGTACTGCTTACGAGTGACTTCATCTTTTATAAAAAATGGATCAGGGAGTTTTTGGCTTTTTTTCAGTTTTCGAGTGTAATTGGTTTAATAAGATGTGAACTGTTTCAGGAAGAATGTTGGGTATGCGTCCACGTGCAATGCGGTTGGCCAGACAGCTGGCTTTTTCTTAGGCAATGTTGTCTATCTAACGCTTGATTCACCCGATTTCGCTAACAGGTTTTTTCGAAGTGAACCAAAATCCTATGGTTTGGTGAGTCTGGCCGGTGAGTTTCATTTATAAAATATTTTTTACCAGTGTTGTTCTGGCAGCTTTCTGTAGTAGTCTACACTGGTCTTTAGATGTGGACTACGTTTTCACTGCAGGATTGTGTTCACGCGTATGCGTGTATTTATACATATATGTGTGTGTTTTGCAATGCATGCGTGTGTGCGCGTTTGTGCCCCTATGCGTCTTCATATATGCACTTGTGTGACTGGTTAAAACAGATGTGATAATGTT